CTATGTAGGAAGACCCTGTCTCAGAAAAAAAGAGGGGGTAATGTAGATCCTGTAGTGAAGAGAATCTCTGAGTGGTCAACTCAGCTCCGGAACGTCACACAGAAGCAGCCAGAGGCAACGCACCACCAAGTCAGTGTGTGTTCCAGTGAAGCCTGTTCAAAAGTGAAGCTCACCAGTGAGCAGATGAACATGGGTTCACAGTTTGCTAAACCCTGTCCAACAAAGATGGTGCCTCATCTAGTGCCGCACAGGCTGGGCTGTTTGGAAAGTCTATAAGTCTTTCTCCATGAAGAACTTTGCTTTTGTTTGTAATTTGGGGCTAAAAAGAAGAACTCATGTATTCACAAGTGTGTCCCAGCCATTGTGTTAATTAATCACTTTATGTGAATTCTCCTACTTAGTCCCAACAATCCGAATTACTGTTTCCATCTCCATGTTACAGAAAACAAAATGGAATAAAGCCTGCCAACCAAGTTGCCCCAAAGTCACACATAGCTGGCTCTCTGCAGAGGCAGGCACAGCCCCGACAGTCTGACCGTGGCTCTAACAAAGCACACGGGGCAGGGACGTCCCAGGGCTGCTAAAGGACATCATCTGACTTCTTTCCCCTCATTCTAGTCTCTCTCCTTTGACTCCCCCCCCCCAGCATTTAAATAAATTTCCCTGCCAACTAAGACATCAGTCCCTTCCTCCCTGGGCTGTGGTCAACTGATGAAAATTTTTTTTTAGAGACTTGTTCATCTGTCTCCTTTCTAATCATTGGCACGTCTTTATTCAAGCCATAACCTTAGTAATCCTGTCAATATTATTATTGTCCCCAGGCCAATGGGGCCAGCTGAGTAAACGCCCCCGCCTTGGTCGGGGCAGGTGATGAGCTGTAAACAATGGTCGAGCGGTATACTTTAGTTCTTCCGCCTCCCGCATTCACCTGTTCCCACTCCCACTGGTCCCATCGAGGCTAGTCCTCCTTATTTCACGGCTGGATCGCCGCAACAGTTGGTCCCTAGGCCTCGGAGCTATTTTATTTCTCATTGCTTTTGCGTGCTGCTCTCAGATCTGTCTTCCTGGTGCCACTCTTCAGTCATAATTGTTCCGCTGCTGGAGACCCACCAACGGCTCCCCGTTGCCCCCCAAATCAGGCTCCTCGGTCTGGCCTCCACCCTTGCCAAAATGGTCTTTTAGAGTGATGTGCATAAATCGGGCGTTTCTTCCAAGGCAAATGTGTTTAGAGTTCCAGCAGAGCGCCGCTGGTTTGTGGAAAGCATTTCTCCTGCCGGAAATGTCAGCGTCACCCCCGAGATCCCATGAAAGTGGAGAAGCCAGAAAACTGGCAGTATAGAGACATGAGCGGTTCCGCCAAACCCACCAATCAGGTAGGACATTACAACCTTCCCTCTAGGTGTGACCAAAAGAAAATTGAACACAACTGCAAATGAAATATTCATGCAAATGAAATATTCCACCTCATTAGAATGTTACCTGTGTATGCATGAACTGGAAAGCACTGGATTGTTTTTTTTTAATATGTGTTCTATTAAAAGCAGAACAGTCAAAAGGGACCATGGAGTAGAGAGAAGGGCTAGAAAGGGAACTCACATGATAGACAAGTCATGAAGGGATAAATGGGAAAAATGAGGGACTGTCTTAACGGGTGAAGGAGGAGGGCAGGCAATACAGAAGTGGGGGAAGGGAGTTAAATAACAGTAAGGATGTTTGAAAAACCATGTGGGATCATATTATTTTATATTTACTTAAAATACATATAAGTTTATATGTGTAAGTATGTAGAAAATTTAGGGAAAGTTATGCTACTGGGGGTGATAATGTTCCTTCAAGAGCCATGCACTACCTAAGTAGTGTCAGGCATAAGACCCTGTTTCCAGCTGTTGGCCAGGGGAGTCCAAAAGACTTGCAAAACAGAGGCTATTGGTGTTGCCCTTGGTTGCTTCTCGGAAACTGAAGGGAAGTTCCTATTGCCAAAGACACTACGCATTTCAAAGGAATCGACTGGACTATTGCTCTACACAGGGCTTCAGAGGAATAGAACTGGATCCCTCAGGGGACTAGCTTTTATGGTCCTATTTTATTGCTTTACACACACACACGCACACATGCACACATAAATACATAAATACAACCTCTGAGTCCATTCAGTGTTGCTATATGCACATGTTTCCAGGGCTGGCCACTTGATATTGGGTTACCAGTCAGAGGCTCATCCCTGGGGGAGACTAATTCTCCTTCTTCATTAGTTGCCCGAAGCTCTTCATCTAGGGATGGTGCCCCATGAAATTTCCCTCTTCCACATTAGTGTGTCTGTTGATGCTATCATTGCTTAGGTCTTGTTTAGGCAGCCATGTTGTTGAGATTTCATAGGTGCACCTTCCCTGCCCCCACCGTTCCTAGGAACCTCAGCTGTGACTGTTATATTGGAGATGTGTCAGCTGGGACCGGGCATGCTACGATCAGTCGCTCTCTGCGTTTTGACCAGTCGTGACCTTCTGTGATGGCCTTTAACGCAGAGAGAAGCTTCCGTGACAAGGGGTGAGAGCTACTCTGTGGGTAGAAGGGTGAGTGTTTAGGATGCAGCTAGGAATTATACTGCTTTAGGAAAGTGGCGGTAGCCGCCCTCTGAGATCCACAGCCTGTCTAGCTATAGATAGTTGGCTACCGTCCACTTCCAGGCATGGTTTCTCACCTGTTGCGTGAGCCTTAAGTCCATCACGTGGGGACTCCATTGCTGTCTGTTTGATCAGCTGACAGGAGGCGTTGTTGGTGTGGGGGTGGCATACCTGTTTCCTTTTGTTGTTGTTTTGGTTTGGTTTGGTTTGGTTTTCGAGACAAGGTTTCTCTGTGTATCTCTGGCTGTCCTGGAACTCAAATTGTAGACCAGGCTGGCCTCAAACTCAGAGATTCACCTGCCCCTGCCTCCCAAGTGCAGGGATCAAAAGCGTGCACCACCACTGCCCGCTGGCATACTTGCTTCTTAGTGAACCCACTCAAGGAAGAACATCCGCCATCCAGGCTCATCCCTGAGCCCGAACAACAGGACTTTGGGACAAGGTGGCTATCTTAGTTTCTTCCCATGTAGCTGTGATAAAAATACTCTCACAAAACCAAATTAAAGAGAAAGAATTTGTTTTAATTCGCGTTGGCGGTACAGTTCGTCAAGGCAGGGAGGTCATGGATGCAGGAGGTGGCCATGGTGTATCCCCAGGCAAGAAGCAGAAGAGCTATAACAAATGGTTGCACGCCACTGCTCAGACCCTTTCTTCCCTCACAATTCTCTACTTCCTGTCTAGGGAGCCCAATCAAGATGAGTCTTACTGTATCAATCAGTGCAATCAAGATAATCTCTCACAAGTGTGCCCAACATCCCATATCCCAGGTGACTCTAGATTCTGTCAGGCTAACAATTAACATGATCTTGGGAGTTTAGAAAGTGAGTCTCTAGTTAGCAGCCATTTCTCCAGAATGGTCCCGTATTATTGAAGAGGAAGCAAGGAAAGCAATGGACAGGCAGGTTTTCTTAATACATGGACAGTCAGTATCAAGTAGTGGTAACTTTGTTCTCAGTCTAAATATAATCTACTCAAGTGTGGCAGTCAGGTAGAAAATTAAACAAAGAAAAACAGAAACAGGAGGCTGAAGAGATAGCCCAGAGACTATGAATGGTTCCTGTTCTTCCAAAGAACCCACTTCTAGTTCCCAAAACCCCTATCAATCAACTAACTCCAGCTCCAGGAGCCCACATTCCTCCTTCTGACCCCTTAGGGCACATGAGCACATGCATGCATACAGAGACAAGCATGCACGCGCGCGCACACACACACACACACATTGATCAATTTTTAAAAACAGAAACTAAGCAAATTTCCCGAACACTTTCTCTCATGGCGCCCTGTCCCGGTAGCTCTTTGTCACTCTCCAGGTCTCGGGTCACCATTCTGTCCTCAGCAGAGTCTATCCTGATATTGCAGTGCATTCTGTACCCACTTCTAGCCTCACGCATCTGTTCACAACCCTCACCGCAGCTGTGGTCTCACACAAGTCTGATGATCGCATGAACGTCCATCTCTCTTGTTGGCCTCTTAGATTCCTACTTGTAGGGAAACCAACCGCTTTTCCCACTTAGTCACCATATCCAGCACAGGGATAAATATAGTAGGGTCTCTATACACAAGCCCTGGCTGAACAAACAAAGACGTCTGCTCGCGGTAGAAAAAATGACAATGTGAATCTAGAAAAAGAGAGTGATCTGGGCACAGTAACTCACGTCTGTAATTCCAGCACTCGGGAGATTGAAACAGGAAGCCTGTCGAGAGTCCGAGGCCAACCTGGGCTACAGAGTGAGTTTCAGGTCCAGCTCGGGCTGTAGTGTTTGCACTTGTACATAAGAAGAGTGTTTCTTTAACACCATATTTATTTTCATAATTGTTAACAATTAATTTGTGTTAGTAATTATATTAGTGACAAGCATCCTCGCCCCAAATCTGAATGATTGTAATGCTTCACTCAAGGGTTTATAAGTTGGCTTCTGTGCCTTGGTGTCCGTCTGCAGGCACTTCATGACTAGAAATTCCTTATCTATCTTTTGCCTATACCAATCTAAAAGATCAGCTACTCTTGCAAGCTATTTCGGCTGGAGTCTTACGGTTCAGACAGAAGCCACTGGGCAAAGCCGTCCCCATCTTCACAGTGACGCCTCCAGCACTCCAGCTTTCTTGGCCGATGTGGTCACATTAGACAGGGAATGGTTCTATTCTGGAAAGTCCGGGTGCAAATGTGAGAGGGTAAAGGAATCGTTATTGTTTTAACTAAGATAATCTATCACATCCTGACGTTATACTTGTGTGTGTGTGTGTGTGTGTGTGTATGTGTGTGTATGTGTGTGTGACCAATAATACTGTCCTTCAAAGGTAGAATATTTCAAGTTAGAAAGAGGGAGATTGCCTGCTTATGGAGTCCAGAGCATGTAGGATACTGATTGCTGCAGAGATTTATAAAAAGATCTTTCCATCTAAATGGCGTTGGAGCCAGGTCCCAGCTTTATTTATAGCTCCTCTCAAAACTAAGCAAATTGTGAGTCATTAGTAAGTGTAGCAAGAATAACAAAGCGGAGGCTTGCTGCCTTCAACTAGTGCCGTGCTCAAACCATTCTAGAAAACACACGCTACACCCATGAGTGTTTGGTCCCCAGTCAAGTGCAGGGCTAGTGCTTCGCAAGTCTCAAAGATGAGAAGGCGTTTCATCTCTCGGCAGTTTACATCTTTCCCAGTAGACACAGGAAACAACGGGCGCTCCCACCGCAGATGTTTCCTTCAAACCAGCTTTATGTACCTCATGAGTGACAGGCGCCCTATTCTTCCATAGACCGACAATCATCAAGGGTTGAGAAGTCACCCTCTCTCTTTGCTCTGTCCCCTTGCAAGCTTTTGGTGTATTCAGATACAATTGATGCCGTAAGCCCTGACTTACGAAGTAAGAAGGGGACAGCTTACTGTGATCTGACGCTGCCGCTGTGCAGATGTCAGGGTGAAATGTGAGTCAAAAAATCAAGAAGAGAGGGTATTTCCAATGCCTTGTGGAACATTCATATTAGAAAAGGAAAAATGTCCTCGTTCAAACATTTATGTGGCTACAGGGGCGCTTTTACCAAAGGCAATAAGACCACACGGATTCTCCCATTCTTGAAGTTGTCTTTGTATGATTTCTGACATATTCTTCATATCTTAAGCTTTAAGCCGACTAAATGAAGATGAATATCACATGAGACTCAAGGCTCATGCCAACAACTGTAGGTAAAAAGTAAAGAGTTCAAGCACGTAAGAACTGACCTTAGTGGTCCAGCATCTCTCTGTAGAAGGTCATAGACTCTGTACGGGAGAAGCGGCTCCCATACTTTGCTCCCGTAAACGGTTCCATGAGGTTCCTTTGCCTCTCGGGAGGCACTTGTATTAGGCCACGCAATTCTGTCTTGAGACACTGGCCAGCAAAAACGATCTAAAGTTTGCAGAAGAACCACGGAAGGAATCAAGTTACCTTTGTAAGCTGCCTTTGCTGGGCAAGCCGCTTTCTGTAGCAGGCAGCCTCCACCTCGGCAAGCCTGGGTTTTAGACAACTCTTTCTACACAATCAACACCCCAAATGTGTCAACTGAACACAGCAACCATCATTTTTTCTCTCCGTTTTGCGGAGGGGCCAGGCAGTGGGCAGCTCTCTCCTGGCCATGTTTGCAGTCAGGAAGCTGGAAAGTCAACTGGATGCCCATGGGACACAGGGCCTCCTTCCCTTCCACCGAGCCTGGGGCCTTCTTCCTACTGGGTCTCCCCAGCAAGGTAGCCAGACTAATTCCTTGGTTGGTTAGGGCCTGAGAGAAGCAGAATGAGGTACTTCTTACTGTGATCAAAAGTTTGTGTTCCCCCAAGGCAAGTGTTGAAACCCAATCCCAATGTGACGGTAGTGACAAGGGAGGCCTGTGGGGAAAGACCCCTTCCCTTATGACACAGCGCCCCTCTCCAGAGGGTTTGTTCCTTTTGCTGACTGAGTCCACCTAAGAGCAGGAAGGGTTTCATTTAGTTGGCTGTTGCTTTGATCTGGAACTTTCCAGCCTCCAGGGCCATGCTGGAGGAAAGAGGAAGGGGGACAGGCAAAGAGGCTCTGGCTGTCCTAAACTGGTTCTTTTAAGGGTTTCTTTTCCTTTCCTCCCCACTGATAATTTCATACATGTGCAGAGCATAATTTGATGGCACTGACCCCCCGCCCCAGGATCCTCCTCTCTTATGCTCCTCTCACACCAAAGCTCCCTGTCCTCGTTAGCTTCTCTACCACTGTGAGAGAGCACTGACCGGAAACAACCTGGGGAGGAAAGGGCTCTTATTCTTACAGTCTTACAGGTTATAGTCCACCACCGAGGGAAGCCGGGGCGGGGACTCGAACTCAAGGCCGCGACCCAGAAGCAGGAACTGAAGCAGAGACCACAGAGGGTTGCTGCTCACGGCTTGATCTGCATGGCTTGTTCAGTCTGCTTTCTTATACAACCCAGGCTTGCTCAGCCTGCCTAGGGCTGGCACCACCCAAGGTGGGCTAGGCCCTCCCACACCAATCGTCAGCCAAGAAAATGTCCCATAGATGTTCCGATAGGTTAATCTGATTAAGGTGATTCCTCAGTTCAGTCCCGTCTTCCCAGATGACTCTAGTTTTGTCTGGGGGGGGGGGATCTAATCAGCACAACCCCTCCCCCATCCACCTATGATGGGCTATTGGCATGCCCAGACTTCTGCAGGTCTTGTGGTCAAAGAACTTCAGTTTGTTGTTGTTGTTGTTGTTGTTGCTATTATTGTTGTTTAGGCTTTTTGAGACTAGGTCTCACTCTGCACCCCAAGTGGGCCTCAAATTTGCCTCAGTTTCTTGAGCACTAAGACAGCAGGTATGCAAGAGACAGCAGGCATGCACCATCACACCTGGCTCTAGCCAGCATTGGTCCTCCGCAGGGAGGCCTTGGGAGGAATTGTTTGTTTCAGAATTCACCCTGGTCCCTTGTTGCTCAAGCACATTTCTATTGGTTGTGTTCTCTTTCTTGGCCCTCTAGTGTTGTAACCATGGCTGCGCACTTGGCCTTGCTGGCCATTGTCAACACTCCAGCTTTCGGTTTGTTTGCTGCTGCTTCTCGATGGAAGGCAAAAATGTGTGCATTACATGTGTGTATATTTACACATCTGTATGTGTGTGTGTGCCATATGTGTGTACATATGTGTGTGCATGTGTGCACGTGTGTGTGTGTGCACGTAAGCAAGTGTGTGAGTATAGCCACTGGAGAACAAAGTGAAACAAAAAAGGAATCATCTGAGGGCTAGGTAATGTGAAGATCTATCTGACATAGCAAATTCTAGAACTCCTGTCTTTACAGGCAATGTTTGTTCCATCTATAAGGGGAAGAGAGAGATACCGGGGCATTCCTGTCAATTATTAGCATGCCCTGCTGGTTCCAGGGATTGTTTTGAGAGGAGAACATATTGTGAGGGGAAATTCCCATCTCGCCACCCTTTTCATCAGGCCTATTAAGCTAATGATTTTATTTTAACAATGGCTTTCCCCACAGCCAGTCTGTCTAGGGTATAGGCTGCCAGACATGGTTACTAAACACCCAGAGACTCAGGCAATTATAGGAAATGCTATTTTTAAGTTCTATTGTATAGTTGCCTGAGCAGTGAGCTGGCTAATATCAGCTGCACAGATTCCAGAAACCTCTATCCCACCGGTGTGAGGAAGCTTTGATTTGCTCAGGTACCTCTGGGAGCTTGTGCCTAGGACTTACCCAAAGCGGAATGCCAAATGGGGAGTCATTCTTCACATGGGCACGAGGGATGAGGTGATGGTGCGGCTCTCGGGTCTGAACAAAATGAAGGTAAAGCACTGTGACTGCAGATTTTAACTGTCAACTTGACGCTACCTGGAATGGCTTGGGAAGAGCGTCAGATTGGCCTGTGGGTACATCAGGGGTGGGGGGAGGGGGGGACACCTTTCTTGGTTGTCACTTGATGTGGGAAGACCCTTGTATTAACTGCCTTTCTAGAGCTATGATTACACTACCATGACCAAGACAGCACATAGAAGCAAAATGTTACGCTGGCTTATGGTTCCAGAAAGTGAGAGTCCCTGGTGGCAAAGTGAAGTACAGAGCCACGATCAGGAAACAGAACTCTTCACATCTTGAGCTGCAAGCATGAAACAAGAAGAGCAAACTTGGAAGGGCATCAGTCTTTGAAGCCTCAAAGTCCGCCTCTTGTGACATACTTCCTCCAACAAGGGCACACTTCCTAAACCAAGCCAAATAGTACCACTTACTGGGGACCAAGTATTCCAACACTTCATACTATGGGGGGTATCCCAGTCAAACCACCACCACCCAGCCCACTTTGGGTGACACCATTCCTTAGGCAGCAGGTCCTGGCTTCTATGAGAGCAGAGAATGCTAACTGGGTACTAGGCATGCATGCAGTCGTTCTCTCTTTACTCACAACTGTGGATATCATGTGACCAGCAGTCTCAAGCTCCTGAGGCTGGGACTTTCCTGCAACAGCAGATTATAACCTGAAAGTGTGAGCTGAAATAAACCCTTTCTCTTCTAAACTGTGTTTTGTTAGGGTGTTTGGGTATCGCAACAGGTATCTTGCTCCAAGAAGACTTGAGGTGACTTATAATAATAAATAACGCCAAGTAGAAAGTGTAATGGTAAAATGCTATGGCGCAATTTCTCAAGGGGTGCGGCAGGCCACTGTGGATGGTTTAGGGAAGCGGCGGGTGGGAGACCACGGCAGGCCACGAGGGCAGCTGGTCCCAAGAGGGGATGTGGCAGGTGAGAGACAGAGACGGATAGGCATGCCATGCAGAGAAAGAGGGTATTTATTTAGTGGGTTATGGATGGGAAGGGGAAAGGGGAGTGTGAGGAAGAGAAGGGGGATGAAGAGAGAGAGGCAGAGAGGGGGGCAGGGAGAGAGAGAGAGAGAGACAGAGAGAGAGAGAGAGGATGTGGGAGAGGAGAGAAGCCAAGGCAGCAGCTACCTCTTCAGGAGAGAGATGGGGGGAAAAAGGAATTCAGGCTGGAGGTGGAAGAAAGATGGTGGGCAGGGGAGGGAGTGGGCGAGGCTTGTCTCTTAAAGGGACAGGACAGACCATTTCAGAAAGATCCCATGGAAATAAGAACACATATAAGGTTAACGTAAAAGTCATTTAAAAACAACAGCAAGGCCAAAGTGTTAGCACAATACTTGAGTTTCTCACTAATTACCGTTTGCTATTAGCCAACATGCTGTTACCTGGTCCACATGAGTGCAATGAGACTAAGTTTAGAGGTTCAATTTGAACCAGGTGAAGGTTGAAGTCCCTGCTCAAAATTTCAAAGTAGATAAGGTCATCCATTAGAGGCACCGTCTCCCTTTAGGAAGTCATTTTCCTCTGGATCTTCTCCCCGGCACCTCGGTTTGTCACTGTCATGCTCCTCACTCACACCACCTCCAGTGTCCAAGCCCTCAACTGCCCTCTGCACTGCACTGTGCGGTCTCTACCGTTCCCTGTTCCTCTTCCAGGCTTTGCGGGTCTTTCTTCCTTTCTGTCCCCATCAACATCTGAAATTCTAACTGGTGTTTCAAACAAAACCCAGTCTTCTGGCCACCTGCTCTGGCTCCACTTATACACAGGCAACGAACTATTAAAGAGAGCCAGAGGCAGAAAAGTAAAGGGCACAAATTCAAAAGGGGCAATATGGTTAGGGGGAGGAAGTGCGCGCTCTCCTCCTCTTACCCTACGGCTAGCGCCACCTCGTGGTCACTGACTGAGGAACTGACTGAGGTTCCCGTCAAGACAATTCTGGCAATTCCAGTGGGAGGGGTCGGATCTGGTTGTGCTCCTCCGGCACACAGCAGGTCCAGTTTCGCTCACGTCATCAAGACAAAGACTGAGAGATGCGTTTCTGGAACCTGTTCATACAGAACGATTCATACAGAATTGGAATTCTCCAACTAGGGAACCTTCCAGTCCACTGAGGACCACACAAACAGCCCCAAGCTCGGGTTCATGAGCAGATGTAAGTCAGCCCTCCCACCGTCCAGTCTCACCTCCTGCCATTCCTGTCCTCCGTGGAGAATCTTCTTCCCAGCTGCTGAAATCAGGCAGTCACACGCTAATGTCACATGACTAAGCACAACTTAACATTATCAAAAACGATTTTTTTTTTAACTTGCAGGTATTTTCTTTTTAAACACGCAGATTCTAAGGCAACTTTGGGCAGATTTGACTGACAAGAAACCCAGAAGAAGAGATGGCCATTTTTTAGGAAAAATTTCTGCACATCATATCTTGCTCCAAGAGGACTTGAGGTGATTTACAATAATAAATAATACCAAGTAGAAAGGTCCTATGGAAAAAGAATCACATAAAAAGTTAATGTAAACAAGTCATTTAAAAACAACAACCAGGCAGTGGTGGTGCACGCCTTTAACCCCAGCACTTGGGAGATAGAGGCCAGGTGGATCTCTATGAGTCCAAGACCAGCCTGGTCTACAGATTGAGTTCCAAGATAGCCAGGACTACACACAGAAACCCTGTCTCAAAAAACAAAACAACCCCCCCAAAACCAAAATCCTCCCCCCCCAAAACAACAACAAACAGAGCAAAACAAGAGAATGTCAGACATAGGCTGCAACGGAGGCAATGGACATCTCAGTGTATCCCACCCCCAAATTCTGACAGTCTGGGCTGCTTGGTTGCCCCGCCTATACTTCCTGTCTGGCTACTGGCCAATAAGCATTTTATTAAACTAGTACAACTGACAAACCTTTACAGGGTACAAGACCATTGTCCCACAGAATCTCTCTCTCTCTCTCTCTCTCTCTCTCTCTCTCTCTCTCTCTCTGTCCCTCTTCTGAAGAGGTAACTACTGCTCCCCTCCCCTCCCCCTTCCTCTATCTATCTATCTATATTTAACTCTTCCCTCCGTAATTATCTTACCCTTATACCCTTTCCGATACCCATTAAATAAACTCCATACCCGAGTTCTCTCTGCATGGCATATCTGTCTGTCTTTTACCCGCTGTGGCCTCCCACCTGCCATGGGACCTGCCAGGGTAGCACCAGGAATCTTGCAGACAGAATGTGTCCTCCTTTGATGCGGTTGCTCCCCACCCCAGTGTGTCTGTAAAACAACCCCCTCTTTCCTCCCTTCTTGAGTAGAACATTAGTTACCAATAGGAATTGGGAAAGCGTGCAAGCACTTTTGAATGTCGCTCCTCAGCCTGTTTCAGCGAAGACCAGGGGCCTGGAACAATCCCAGTGTGACGGGGAACCCAGCAACGCTGGTTTTGCTTTTGTTTGTCCTGTTTCTTTTAATACAGGCTCTCACACAGTCCAAGCTAGCCTCAAACTCCAGGTGTCGCTGAGAAACACCTAACCCTCCCCACTACCACCTCACACCCTTGGGCTGTGTTTGATACAGGAAGCCCTTCCAGCTATATTTGCTGAGTGAGTGTACATTGAGTGAGGGATGCGGGCATATTCTAACCACCATTTGGTTAAAGAGAGCCCAGGACGAGCCAGACCCTGGCTGAAGAACTGACTATTCTGCAGAGACGGAGTAGGAAAGTTCAGTGACTCACAAGGATTGGAGAGAGCATCTCTCTGAAACTAAAGAATGTCAGTGGGCAAGTCAGGCACAAACTGTTCCAAGGCCGGTCTCTGGGTCTCAGGGCAGCTTGGAGGCCCTTGCTAATGTCCAAGTCGCCCTGCCCACGTTGCTAGACAAAGTTGAGGTTGCACAGAATAGCTGACAGCCCGTTAATAACTGGGAGCAGCCGATATTAACACCCAATTAGTTAAAGTTTACCCCATGAACACTGATGTAGGGAATCGGAAGGATGTTAGCCTCATCACCCCCACCTTTCCCTGATTTTTTATTTAAAAAAAAAAACAAACCACATTCAGAAGTGTTTTAATGGCTGTTGAAGGAAATTATTGCGGCAGCAATCAGGGCTCTCTGTGGGAACCGCCTTCAACAGTCCGTGGCCTCCCTCCTAAGGCGGGAGGGACATTTGGATATTAAAATGCCACTGAGCTACATCTGCCAGACAGGCAGCCACTAGACATCTCTTAAGGCAGCAGGGGACAGACCCCAGGTTCTCTGCCTCACCGATACCTTCCTTAGAAAGGCTGAGGCCAGATGGCAGTACTCTGGCAAGGACAGCAGGGGAAGAAAAACGAGGAGGCAGAGAGGGCCTGGCACTTGGCCAGCACAGACAGAACCTCTGGCTCCTCCCCCGCCCCAGGTGAGAGCGCGCCTGCCTGCCCGCCTGACTGCTGGCGGGTCCAATTGTCAGTCAAGTGGTGGTGGCCGGGAGGGAGTCTGTGGCCTTCTAGTTTGCAGTCACATTCGGGGACTACAAATCCTTGGCTAAAGAAGAAACAAGGTGTTTGAAAATTGAGCGGCTGGGTGGGTAACACGATCTTGACCCTCTCTTCGGCTCAGCCATCTCCCTAGTCTTCAGCCTCCTCTGGAGTTTGAATCCTGTGAGGGGAAGCACGAGGTGGTGGTGAGGGGGTGCGGTGGGAGGAGAGTGAAGCCAGGATATTTGTTTCCCAGCTCGCTCCCTGTAGGGACTTCAGCCGCATTCCTGTTGGATGACCTTCTTGGCCAAGTCTCAGGAGTGTGCCTTGGAATCTGCTTTCTGGTCGCTGTTCCCTGTCTCTGCTTGAAGCCTGACAGATGTGGCAGCCACTTCCTAGTCAGCTCCCTCATCCCAAACTGGATTTTGTGTTCGGAGTCCTCACTTCGCTACACCTTTGTAAAGGATCTCTTTATGTCTGTCTCCTCCAACCACCCAGCTTTCGGGTATCCCCCTTTTCCTGCGAGGCTGTGGCTGGTGTTAGGATTCAGGCGTTATGTTGGCCCCTGGCCCCTGGCAGGATGCATTCAGGTAGCACCCTGGCCAGCCTAGGGTCCCATGGCTAAGTCACTAGTAGTCTGTACACAGGTGCAAAAGGTCCCTTTAAGAGACAAGCTCTGCCCATTCCCATTCTCTTCCTGCTGTTTCTCTGAAGAGGCAAGCTGGTCTCTGTCTCTGCTTCTCTCTCTCTCTCTCTCTCTCTCTCTCTCTCTCTCTCTCTCTCTCCCCCCACCCCCCTTTCCTTCGCCCTCTCTCTCCCCCACCCCTTCCCTCCCTTCTTTTTATCTCAACAAAACTCTTCACTTGAGCTCTGCCCACATGATGTATTTGTCTCCGGCAGCCTCGAGGCCTCTGACTCTCGCCCGCCCCCGCCAAGGTCTCTCTCGCACAGAATCAACAACAGCAGACACACAGGCACAGGCAGATCTTTCTGGACCTCCTCAAGGACCTCCAGGATACCTCAGGGCTGTGCTGACATTCTTCCTTTCTGACGTCAGTCAACAGGAATTTGTGGCTCTACGTATCAGACATATTTCCATCTCGCTCCTAAGTTTAGGCCTTGATTACTGCGCCTTGGGACCACTCTCTTGGGACTTCCTGAATCTTACGGCAATACTCCCTCAGCTTTAGCTGTTTCATCAACTAAAACTTGCCTACCATTCTCTCTCTCTCTCTCTCTCTCTCTCTCTCTCTGTGTGTGTGTGTGTGTGTGTGTAGTGTATAAGCCAAAGGAGAGCGTCAGATGTTCTGCGCAATCACTGTCTTCCTTATCCCACAGGGTCTTCTCTGAACCTGAAGCTGACCACTTTTTGTCTTGTTTTGTTTTCTGGGCTGACTGGCCAGCGAACCTCAGGGAACGTCCCGTTTCCTCCTCCTATGGCACCGGTACATACAGGCTCACACGGCCACACTTGACTTTGTACAGCGATGCAGGGGATCCTCACTCAGATCTTCAAGTTTGTGCAATTTTTCCCACTGTCTTGGTCACCGTTCTTTCGGCTGTGAAGGGACATCTTGACCACTGCCACCCTGATAAAAGGAGAACGTTTAGTAGGGACAGGCTTACAGTTCCAGAGGTTTAGTCTGTTACCATGACAGCACCCAGGCAGATGTGCTGCTGGAGAAGCAGCTGAGACATCTACATCCAGATCACCAAGCAGCAGAGAGGACACTGCCTGGGCTTGAGCATTTGAAACCCCAAAGCCCACCCCAAAGTGACGCACATTCCCCAACAAGGTCACACCTTCTAGTCCCTGTCAAGTAGTGCCACTCCCTGATGACCAGGCCTCCAAATAGGCACCCCACTGAGCCAGCTTCCCAGCCCTTTGCCATTCTTTTCATTGACATGTTCACACGTGTCATGTACCCCAGAACACAGGCTTGTATGGATCCAAGTCATTCTAAGACTGACCCTGTGCCACGTGCCTGGCCTCAGATGCCCTCTAGAACCATGTACCAAGATACCACAGTCCTTCGCTCTTGCATTCTCCATGCCCGCAAAACCAGTACCATATAGATGCTGCCGCTGACTTTCACTGCCAGCTACCGATGGCTCCTGGCCCCTTTGGGCCACAGACAAAGTGGCCTTCGTTTGCCTTGAATCTGTACAATCCCTTTCCTAGGCGAGTGTTTCTTTCCCCTTTAGGTGTTTGCTATATAAGTGGTGATTAATGGGCATAAAAGTTACATGGGTTATAGTGTAATGTATTTATGCTTATTCATTGGAGGACTCTCAGGTAGAGCCACTGGCAAAGCCTTCAGTCTCGCCCTGTGCTCCTAGGCAACTGTCTCTGAGTAGGGAATCCTTTCAGCTGCATTCTCTCTTCCGGGGCTCTCAAATTTGCGTCTTGATAAGGTGCAGCCTTTGATGGGTGGGGGTCTTGCCCTAAAAGTACCCTTTCCTGTTGTCCCGTGCAGGATGGGACCTCTCCCTTTAAGAGTCTTTCTTTCATCCTTGCCTTGGCTGCAGCTTCAGACCTGCC